ACAAATTTTTTTTTTTTTTTTTACATTTTCACCAATTTGGTTTTTTTTTTAGATCCTGTCATTGATATGTCATGTCACTACATTTTCAGGGGATGTTTCGATTAATTATAGCCCATCACTGCCGCTCTCCTCCCCCACCCTCCTCCTCCTCCTCCTCCTTCTGCTTTCATCTTTTTTCTCTCCCTCCTCCCCATTCATCCCTTCAAATGTCCTCCCTCGCATCCTCTCCTTCAACATTGTCCCTCTCGGCGTCTTCTTCTCCTCTTGCGACAATCTGTTGTTTCTTTATTTGTGCAAGGCGCAAAAAAGGCCCTCAGCACGTTCTAATCTCTCGGTTCCACGTTGGCGCTCCGCCTGCAGCGCGTTCATTAGCTGCACCGTGCGTGCGTGTGATGTCGTGTATACGTCGCGTCACGCACACACACGCACGCACACACACACACACACACACACACACACACACACACACACACACACACACACACACACACACTTCTTTCCGCACCTGCAAGCTTCCACGTGCGCTGCGCTGCTTGACACGTGAGCGCGTTAGCGCGTTAGCGCGCTAGCTATGTGCTGCGATTCTTGAGTGGCGCGCTGCCGCCACCTGCTGGCCAAGCGGGCGACCGCATGCCAGCGGCGCGATCACGCTCATCTCCAGCAGTGACGTCATGACGGACAGGCGGGGAAATGTCGCTGATGATAATGATTTTTTTTGTTTTGTTTTTCTTTTGGTCTTGCTGGTAAAAAGCTATAATGAGACGATGATAGATAGATATTATGATTTTATTTTATTTTTTTTAATACTCCAGTTTTAATTTCACGGTATGGAGGATTGGTATGTCATTTTAATTATGGTCTAATGCAGGGGTCCCCAACCTTTTTTGCCCCACGGACCGGTTTATGTCAGACAATATTTTCAGGGACCGGCATTTAAGGTGTGGCGGAAATAATACAACAAAATAATATGTTATGAGCTGCATGAAAACTGTGGTGTGAGTGGCCCGCTGCCGCCACCTGCTGGCCAAGCGGGCGACCGCATGCCAGCGGCGCGATCACGCTCATCTCCAGCAGTGACGTCATGACGGACAGGCGGGGAAATGTCGCTGATGATAATGATTTTTTTTTGTTTTGTTTTTCTTTTGGTCTTGCTGGTAAAAAGCTATAATGAGACGATGATAGATAGATATTATGATTTTATTTTATTTTTTTTAATACTCCAGTTTTAATTTCACGGGATGGAGGATTGGTACGGCTTTTTAATTATGGTGTAATGTTTGTTCAATCATCCATTATAAATGCATGTAATTCTTTGGTGTGTTTCACCAATACGATGCAGTGATAGATGAGCATTTACAATGTTTTTGACTCTGCAGCGTTTGCTGATGCCGCTTGGTTTGTGCTTGCGTGCGTTTGTGCAGACAGCAGAAGGCCTACCTGGCCACGCAAGGCCCGCTGGCGGAGACCACCGAGGACTTCTGGAGAATGTTGTGGGAGCACAACTCCACCATTGTCGTCATGCTCACCAAGCTACGGGAGATGGGACGGGTGAGGCGTAAACAGCACGTTGCAATCATGTCAGACCGCCATGAGTTTATTACCGGCCACTGGTTTAGATACACACTGCATCATACTGACGTGCTTTCTCAAATATTTCAGTAATCCTACATCACTAAACTTTTTGAAACAGAACCTGTTGGGTTTTTTTTTGCTTGTTTGTTTTTATGTACAGTGTCTAGTTATCTTTCTGAATACGATAAACCAAAATCGAATGTTTATTGTGTGCGTTTTTGTCGCGCAACAGGAGAAGTGCCACCAGTACTGGCCGGCTGAGCGCTCAGCCCGCTACCAGTACTTTGTGGTGGACCCCATGGCCGAGTACAACATGCCGCAGTACATCCTGAGAGAGTTCAAGGTGACAGACGCCCGCGACGGACAGTCCCGAACCATCCGCCAGTTCCAGTTCACCGACTGGCCCGAGCAGGGCGTGCCCAAAACAGGGGAGGGTTTCATCGACTTCATCGGACAAGTGCACAAGACCAAGGAACAGTTTGGACAGGACGGACCGATCACTGTGCACTGCAGGTATGGGCGGGGCCGCAAACTCTCAACCCGAACGGAGGAGCGCTACGCTGAAAGATGGCCTAACGCTTGGCCTTGTTTTCCTCAGTGCCGGGGTGGGTCGCACCGGAGTCTTCATCACGCTCAGCATCGTGCTGGAGAGGATGAGGTACGAAGGCGTGGTGGACCTCTTTCAGACCGTGAAGACCCTGCGCACTCAGCGGCCCGCCATGGTGCAGACCGAGGTGAGCGGCGCCGGACGTCTCGCTCGAATTGACGGGAAGGCATTTCATCCCTATGCAGCTTCATTTAACTTTTTCCTTGAGAATACATACATACAGGAATCCACTTGAGATTCTTTTTTTCCCTAAAAAAAAAAAAAAACATCCATGTGAGGGGAGGTGTCTTATCGTGAGCTTGGAAGTGACCGCATGTGTCTACGTGTTATGTGACAGGACCAGTACCAGCTGTGCTACCGGGCCGCTCTGGAATACCTGGGGAGCTTCGACCACTATGCAACGTAACCCCAGGCGCCGAGGTCCGAGTCCCTCAGGAGTGTGCCATGTGTCCCATCTCATCACCCAAACCCCGGAAAATAATGTCATTAAAAAAAAAAAAAAAAAAAAAAAAAACGCCACCCAACCTTTTTGCTTCGGGGAGAGGTGCGTAGAACGGAACCAACCATGTGACTTTCATTTTTTTTTTTTTTTGTGCGTCTAAGTCTTGTACAGTTGACAGCGTCACCTGTCCCCCTTCTAGCGGTACCTCCACTCATTTTTGCAATGATTTACTACATTTATTGTTTAGTCTACTTTTTTTAAATCTTTTTTTTTTTTTTTAATAACATTGTGTCTTAACATGGCTCCAGTGCTTTATTTTAATAATTACTACTTTTAATGTCGTTTTTTTTTTTGCATTGTTTTTAAAGGTGGTAAAGGGGTACATTTTAGCATACTGATGCTAGAGGCTAATGTCCTCCGGGCTGGCCGCTGGTTTGCGTTGTTGTCACACGCTCTGGATTTAGTCAGGATGATGACCACAACAAGGGGGGGAAGACGACAAAAAAAAATAAATAAAAAACTGCCTTTTCACTCGCTATTTCCTCAAGGACGAGCACAAAGCGGCTAATGCTAAGCTATTACTAAGCTAAGCCTTCAGACGATGACAGTGTGTACAGGAAAGCAAAGCACATGACTTTTTTTGTTTTCCTCTGCAAAAAGGCCTTTGTACAGAATGGACCATTCCCGTCGGATGTGACACACACACACACACACACACACACGTACATTGATCTTATTTTATACAGAAATAAAACTATAAATAAAAAAATCTATATATATATATATATATATGATTATATATATGTACAATGATATATCGGTGTACACGCAGCTTGTTCTTGCCGTATGTACTGTTCCATTGACAAAAAAAAAAAATGGACATAACGCAGCACAACCTCCCTGTTGTCGCCACGCACACACCCTCCGCCAAGATGGCCACCAGAAGCACACACACGCCTTAAGTGGCGGCGCTGGGTGTATTGGGAGGTGGAGCTTAAGGGGAGGGCGGCTACTTTGTTTCTTTTTTAGATCTTGTGAATGCATCGTGCTGTAGGGGTTCCACCAGTTGTACACACAAACACACACACATCTGTTTTTCTATTTGTTGATAAAGAACTGGAATTTCAAAAGAAAACCTGTTAACGAATGACCACTCGAGTTGTAAGAAAAAAAAGAGAAAAAAAAACAAACCTTGATGTTAATAAAGATACATAATTGGGGTTCTTTTGTACAAAACTCTCCCCGTGTTTTGACTTCATTGCACAACTGATGTAGCCATTATTGATTTTTTTTTTTTTCGCTGAGAAAAGGGCAGCCTTGGCGCAGTCCGACCCTCACCGGAAACGAATCCGACTTACTACCGGTAACGCCAACCAAACTGTGTCCGGATTCGCACAAGCCAAAAAAGGCCCGGTGTCTGACTCCTCCTCCAGCTTGCCGGCATCCCTTGCATCATGCAGACGCCATCTGCACACGCCAGATGGCGCCATTTAGATTCACGTCTCAACTCAACGTGGCTGCCCAATAAGAGACTTTTTTTTTTTTTTTCATGTAAACACAGCGAGCTTGTCACACGCATGACCTCCGAAGCGATTCCTCAGACCTAACGGCAAACTCCCGTGTCTCCCGGCAAATGACCTTGTATATTTTCGTTCTTTGGTTTCCCTTGAAACCGCATCCCGAAGAAAAAAGGCCTCATTGTTCCACCTCACGATGGCTTCAAGTTTAGACTGAGATGTCCAACTTGTACGAGAGGCAACGTGCAGGCGGCGCTTTCATTCTAGCCGCTAATGACACCTTGACTGGAGTGTTTATGTGTACGCTGATTGAGGGTTTCCTTGAAATTCCCGCCAAGACCTAAACAAGGAACCGCGTTCCGACCCCCGCGCGTTTGCACAATGTTGACGCGCTTTTCCGAGTTGTTCTTTTCTCTTTTTGTGTATGCAGCGTGTCACGCTGATGTAACTCAAGTCGCGGCCTCGTGACGGACGCGCTCAAGCGTTTCGTTTGCATCGTCTGCCCCGACTTGATTTAGGGATGAGAGGCAGCTGCTCTTTTTTTTTTTTTTGTCTTTTTTAACAAGAGAAAAACCCCGCGCACATGTGTGAGCAATGTGAGAGACCCTCCTGTCCGATGTTTCCTTTTCGAGGCCTGAAAAGTCTAAGTTGAGGGGTTCGTTGTTTTTAGTGGATAGCTCTACTTTATAAATGGGCAAAAGGAGAAATGGAATCCTTTGAACGCAGCTTTTTTTCTTTCAAAGTCTGCTCCGCAACTCCCAAACGAACGAGAACACACCTCCTTCCGGCTACTCAAAACACTTCCTGGTTTCCTTCAGACAATATCAACATAAACTTGTTTAAGCAATTATTAAACGGAATACAACCTATCTAACTGTAACACAAAAGAATATAATGCTCAAATATCAAATGAAAATTATAAATAATTTAACTTAAGTTTACAAAAGCAACATTTGATGGGCATCGCCGTTCCATTGCCGGGAAGCGGGCCGCATGCAACGTCACGTAAAGTCCACTTGTGCGATAGGAGCTTCTCAAGGCTGGCGGTGACTGAGGCCGCGAGCGAAAGCTTAACTGAAAAAATCCAGCCGACCAACCAAACGAGGACGTCATCGTGTTCCGTTCCGAAATTTAAGGAACGCTAACTTTGCCTAATGGGGGAAGCGCCCTCTCTTCGATTTGTGTTGTCACTCTACTGCACTTGATTGGCAGCTAAAAATGTTATGACCCCAGCAACATTTGAAAAATGAATGAAGATGTGGCGACGTTTGGGTCGTATAAAACCCGATCAGTCAATTGATCATACCCATCCAGTGGCTTCTTTATATAAAGCAATCTGGATTATTGTAAATACGAATATAAGAGCCAACTCTTGCGTATCAAATTTTTCTTTCCGGGCTGCAGGGTTGAAAGGCAAAATGGGGACCTCCGTCGTGCAGGCGGTCAACATTACTGGAGCCTCTTGTAAACTTTTAGTCTTGGGAGGAATTCCAACACCCGATGCTGCTTGGCCACAGACGACGCAAAGTGACTCATCGGGCAGTCTGGCGGACCATCACAAATGTTTAGAGCTGGAGATTGTTGTTTATCAGCTTCCCTGCCCACCAAGTTTCACAGAAATTAGGAAAAATCATGAAAGACGGTGCCGAGTCTTTGAAAAATGAGCAGCTCCTGACCCGTCAATGCGTTTACCTTTCATCAAAAAACAGCTAAACGGTGAGTGAATTGAAGTCTCACAGGAAGTTAAATCCATTTTGAATCGTGATATGTAAAAAAAAAAAAAAAAAAAAAAACGGAGTGACATCAAAACCCATCGAGGCGTTTACCTCTTCAGTCTTCGAGGTGATGAGAAGCATTTTTGGAAGGCTTGAGGAATTTCCGACACTCTGAAGGCGCCAAACACTGGAAGTTACTGGCTGAGCTGGAGGTCAAACAAGGTGAATCGTCGGGCAGTCTGGGCAGAGCGTCACGAATGTTTAGACGTTGTCATTGTTAATCAGCTTCTCTGCCCAATTTTTAGGAGGTTGGAAAGTCGAGTCCATCACGAATGACGACGGTGTGTTGCCAGACGCGTGGAGGCCCCCCCCCCCCCCTCTTTCTTCTGCTCTGTCAAAA